GGGGGGGAGGGGAGAGGGGGCTCCCCACGGCGTCGGAAACTGCCTGTCCCATGACCGTGGTGTTGCCACGTGGCTGCGGCGCCTCGGTGTTATGCCCCTAGTTTTCTGATGCCAGTTTTGCTGAGCCATTCCTTTTTTTTCTTTATTGATTAAGGTATTACATAGGTGTCCTTAAGCCATCCTTAAGATACCATTCAAGTATCTTAAACCGCAAGGACAGCGTTCCTCTACGCCCTCATGGGATACACAGTTCTGTTGCATACTCTTCTTTCAAAAGGCAGCTTTTAGTTCTTTGCTATCTGGTGTAATGCTGAAGTTTCATTTCATTCTAGTTTCAGTTTGTGAGGATGGTGATTCTGTCTGTTCTACAGCAAGCCTGTAAGCAAATAATTATCATCCCCATTTTGTAACCATGAACATATACCTGATTTTTTAATGTACTTTAACTCATACAGGACTAATAATACTAAACTTGGTCAGAATATAGAGTTTAAAAGAATACTAATATGAATTAAGTGATAGCAAAAAAAATATTTTAATCCACATAAAACTATATTAACTTTAGGGAAAACTATAACATTAACTTGAGCTAATATAGGTTCCTACAATAAAAATATGAAAACTTATTATACCAACTGACTATAAAATAAAAATGAAAATCAAACACACTAACAACAAAACTCATAAAAATGAAGTTATATACTAACAGTTTCCTTATGAGTACCGAGTACCCAGCAGGACTCAACTGTCCCTGTCCCATGTGAACAAGAAATGCCCTGACCCCAAATCACCCAACCACAGGAATTTGGCTGATACTGACCAATTCCAGAATGCTGACAGTAAAGATCTATATTGGGACCCTCAAGAAGGCAGCCTGCCTATCGGCAGTTTCTCTGCATGTCCACCCGCCCCCTTCCTTCCACCCTGTAAGAATTGCTGGCTTCACCAAGATGAGAAGATGGCTTGTAGGACCAGAGTCCACCATCTTCTCAGGTCACCCACACTTGAATAAACCACTTTCCTTCTCACAAATACCTGTCTCAGGAGTTTGGCTTTTGTTGAGGCAGGCAGTTGAACCTGTGTTCGGTTTTAATTTTATATCTGTCCTCTGAGATTGTAATAATATTTCCCCAAGTGGGACTGGATCCTATAAATCCAGTTCCCAAACTCCACTACAGTGAGTAAGAAAAATGATGTGAGCTTACTTTTCAAATGATGAATCACACTAATATAAATGTTCTTCAGTACCACACACAATTTGATTCCACAGGCCCAACTGCCATGCTATATATGTATGGTTTTTATCTTCACGTATAATATAAAGAAAAGTGACAAGTGTCCACCTCACTGAATTTTCACACTGAAACACCCCCACGTAACATCACCTAGATTAGGATACAGAACATTACCAGTACCCTAGTAGTCTTCTCCTCCTAGGCCCCACCCACTTCCACTCCTTCAATGTCAAAAGTAAATACTAGTTACTAACAGCAAAAACTTGTTTTGCCTTTTTGAACTTTGCGTTCTGGCAGCTTTGTCTGGCTTTTATTCAACATGTTTGTGAGCACTTGTATGACTGTGTTGTTGTAGTCATCCTGATATTTCGTGTGTGATGTACTCAAGTCATTTCTTCTGCTATTGTAGACATGGGAAAAGTTTCCAGTTTATGGCTATTATAACTGGCTACTATTTACACATGTACACAGTGGGAACATAGGTGCACAATGCTGGGCCACAGGCCATATTTTATGTTCAGGTTTAGTAGATAATGCCCATTTTCTCAAAGTTGTACTGATAAATCAGTACTTCTAAGTGATCTTGTAAGTGTTAAGGGGTAAAAAATGCACTAAAGACAATCTATCATTTATGAAATCCTTATTTATTTTAAATATGTCTATAAATAAACTAGGCACCCTAGCTGGTTTGGCTCAGTGGCTAAAGCGTCGGCCTGAAGGGTGCCGGGTTCAATTCCAGTCAAGGGCACATGCCTGGGTTTCGGGCTCAATCCCCAGAAGCGGGTGTGCAGGAGGCAGTCGATCAATGATTCTCTCTCATCATTGATGTTTCTCTCTCCCTCTCCCTTCCTCTCTGAAATCAATAAAAATAAAAATATTTTTAAAAATTTTGGGGGGAAAATCCTATATCTGATTTAAAGAAATTTCCATATTTTAAATGAAAAAGTCAAGGATATAGTTTAGTTTAACTCTATGTTGGGAAAAATAAACAAACTCCCAACATATGTGTATACATATGAGCAATGAGAAGAATGAAAACAGTTTATTACTCTTGTTCACCTCAGGTGACTTTGATTTTATACATTTTTGTACCATATTCAGAGTTACAAGCATTTATTCCTTATGAGTCCTGGAACATCATCACCACCAAAATGGTAGGGTTGGGGGCAGGGGAGAGAAGGTATATTTTGATGAGTGAACAATGTCATTTCCAGGGCACATGACTGGCATCAGAACCCATCTCCCAACTTCCTCGTTGCCCATTTTAGCTAACATGGGAAAAGTAACATCTCCACCTGAGAGAATGTTTTTAGGTGGAAACATTTTAAGTAGGGCAAAGGGTAGAAGGCTAGAGAAATGGCCACAGAGGCAATGTCAAGGGGAATTGCCCACCACAGAGCTGGGCACACAGCCACGGTGTGGAAAGGCAGTAAGCAGAAAACAAAGAAATGACTAGGAGGGGCATGGGGTGGCTAAAAAGCACCTGCCTAGATAGGACTTGGGGATGAGCAGCACATCCCCAGAGGGACAGGGATGACAGAGCACTGAGGGGAGACAGGAGGGAGATGGGTGGGCCAGGGGCGACACATGAGTAATGGGAAAGGAAGCACCATTGGGACCATCAGGTCCACAAGTAACAGCACATGAACAGGCCCAAACAGGCAGAACTGGCCACAGTCCAGACGCTTAACTAGGCACAAATCAACAGTCTGGGAGCACCATGTGCCTTAAGAAACCTATCTTGTCTCAAAGAGCCTCAACTCCTGGAGCCCCAATGAGTAATGGGGACTAGGATACTTCAACAAACTGCCGCCCAGATGGGATGTGTAAGGACAAAAAAAAGGGCCTTTTTGTTTGCTGTAGCCTTCCACAATTTTTGAGAAGCACCTGGTAATTAAACCCCAAGATTGTTAGCTCCCCCGATTCAAACAGGCTCTCTGTTCAAACTACAGGGCAAGATAAGTTACTTTTAAGGCTACATTTTTGCATTCCCCTTCTCCCTGCTATGTTTTCAACTCAGGGATAATTTGCACCAGAAAAGTCTCTAATTAATAGGGAAGTTTCCGTCTCCCTCTTCCAACAAGCCTTCTTTGAACTCTTCATAACTTTTACGCTAAGTATGTTGTGCAAGCTTGGGAAAAATACTAAGACACTTCCCTAGGACATCTGCAGCCATTACCCTTTAAAAGAGCAGGCTGCTGTTTATCACCTGCCCTTGTATTGATTAGGAATGCACCAGCCCTTTCCCTTCGGGGAAAGTAAAAATAAACTTTCTCTCTGCATCTATCTCTTCTTTTAGTTGTGAATTCTTTCACAGTCCGAGTCAACAGCCAAAAAACCCTAACAGGATGGAACCAACATTTCAGTCCTCAAATACTGCATTCACAGAATGAACACAAAGTTGGCAGTAAGGCATGATGACCCCAGTAAAATGAGAAGGAGAAAGCTTTCTGTGGAAACAATTTTCTGAATTTTTTTGTTAACATGGAGATGTCATTAAATTTGCTAAGACAAAAAAATTAATCTTTATAGGAAGTGAGCTAAATGTTCCAAAAAACACCTCTTGCAAATCCACAATAACCAGGGACTTGGTCTCTCGCTCTTGATTTTTAGATATAGTGGAGATTCATCACTAAGCTCTATTCAAGAGGGTTTCTCCTTCGCATGCATATTCCAGAATACTCCTGGGAGCACAAACATCTCATTGTTTTTCAGGCCTGAACTGTTGTCCCTGCTAATAAGGAGATACTTGAGGTAAATTCTTCAAGCAGCATTGATTCCTGGCTCCAGGAGCTGCTGGAGATTAAATAGCTGCATCAGGATGTGTCCACATAGAAGAGGAGGCAAGGGGAACCTGGTGCTTGCAAGTTGGCCCTTCTGCCTTACTCCCTCCTGTATTCAAGCCCGAGAGTCTGGTTTCCAGGGGGTCCCTGATCATTTATTGAGTCATTTTCAGTTCACTTCTCACAGTGATATGAAGTTATCTGTTGCCATTTAGACTGATTAGGCAGGTCCCTGAGCAACAAACCTACCGGTAATTAGGGTAATTAGAGCCTTAGGCCTTGGACCTCTTAGCTGTTTGTCACCTATAAACTACTGCTCTGGGATTTCCAAGGAGCCCTCATTGTAAGAAGTTTTCAATAGTGCCACACCCCTCCTGAGCAGGGATTTTCATGTCGATATGCCCACGGAAACCCCTTAGTGAGTGTTGAAAATAAGACCCAGCCCAGCCATTGAGGCTCAGTGGTTGAGCATCCTCTTGACCTATGAACCAGGAGGTCATGGTTCAATTCATGGTCAGGGCTCAGTCCTCAGTATGGGGTGAGCAGAAAGCAGTTAATCAATGATTCTCTCTCATCACTGAAATTTCTATCGCTCTCTCTCCCTTTCCCTTCCTCTTTGAAATCAATAAAAATATATATTAAAATTTTTTAAAAAAAGAGTCCTAACTGGTTTGGCTCAGGGGATAGAGCGTCAGCCTGCGGACTGACGGGTCCTGGGTTCAGTTCTGATCAAGGACACATGCCTAGGTTGCAGACTCAATCCCCAGTGGGGGGTGTGCAGGAGGGAGCCGATCAGTGATTCTCTCATTAATGTTTCTATTTCTCCCCCTCTTCCTCTCTGAAATCAATAAAAAAAAATTTTAAGAAGAAAAAGAAAAGAAGATCCATCTTCTCTTCATGGAAATGAGCTAAAGTCAGGGTAAGAGATGCTAATTAAGATCATTCCCAAATATGGTAAAACGTAGATCTCATTCTCCTCTTCTTTAGTGTCAACTTGATAGGTATTATTGCCCTATTCCTCAAAAGATTTATTTTTGAAGGTATTCTTTGAGCTTCTAGAAAATCAGATACACTTTATCAGAGAATTTGTAATATGCCCTCACTTACCCCTGACTTCAGCTTTCTTGGTCTTCCTTACCCTATTCTGCTCTATTTCATCCCATAATGCCGGGGTCCAGCCCCAGCGGTCCAGGGGTTCCCAAAGGTGTGGACAGAGTCGGCGAAGAATGTTTTACACGGAGACAGCGTTCAGAACTCTCTAGCTCTCTTTAGTCTCCGTGGATCTTCCTGTGCCTGGCTGAGGCCACAGGGAGGGATCCCGAGGCAAACGGAGCCTTTATTTTTATAGTCAGAGGTAAACAAGGTAGTGGTTACCAAAGTTACACTGTTCTTATGAGTTTCACTTGTTTTTGTTCTTGTTGCACTTCCCTCAGCCCATCAGCTTCCCAGGTAAGATCTAGGGAGCGTCACAAGGTCAAGCCTAATTATGCTAAGAGGACTGTGCCCTCTAAGCTGGGACTTGTTTGTGACTTTGCCAACAGGTGAGTCCGAGGCTTAACCCTATAGCTGCTCCCCACACCATAACACTGATCACCTTCTGAATTATAATTTACTTATCTTTATTATCAAACTCCCTCCACTGGAATGTAAACTGCACGAGGATAGGGATTTTAGTCTTTTGTGTCAACTGCTGTAGTAGATACTCGGTAAATATTATTTGGATAAATTTAAGATCCTAAAGGGCAATCTATAATAATAAAAGGTAATATGCTAATTAGACCAGATGTCTTCCAGACGTCATTCCAGATGTCCTTCCTGACGAAGCTGGGGCCGGGGTGGGGATAGCCAGCCTGGGTCCCGGGTGCCTGTGGGCAGCCCAGGGGAAGCCAGCCGGGTTCCTGGGTGCCTGTGGATAGCCAGAGGGAAGCCAGCCCGGGTCCCGGACACCAGAGGGATGCTGGTGCCGGCAGACAGGGGAAGGAAGACCTACTCTTGCACGAATTTTCGTGCATCGGGCCTCTAGTAATAATAGTAACCTCAGTTATTTTTTAAAATACATTTTTAATGATTTCAGAGAGGAACGGAGAGGGAGATATATAAACATCAATGATGAGAATCGTTGATCGGCTGCTTCCTGCACACCCCACACTGGGGATCAAGCCCATAACTGGGCAATGTGCCCTGAATAGAAATTGAACCATGACCTCCTGGTTCATAGGTCGACACTAACTACTGAACCACACTGGCTGGGCTAACCTCAGTTATTTTTATACAGCCTCTTCTTTCCTGATCAGTTCTAGTAAACAACTGACCAAAAGGACTCACAACGGTGCCCAGGCCAATTCTGCTTTGCAGTTGTACCAAGGAACTAGCATAGATGCCTTAAGAAACAAGGTAGCCGCTCTAAGACACTAACATATCGTTTGAAAATCCAGGTCTCTTGATGCAGTGAACCGCATGGCCAAAAAGATACTTCTTCTACTTTTAATAAAAAGTTCAAAGGTGTTTGACATTTTATTTTAAAAATAAAATTGGTGCATAAGTGCAAGGAGAAGTAATTTCTGTCCAGTGCTCTATATCCATCTTCAACAAGCTATTGGAAACAGAAAAGAGGGGAAAAAATGAGAAATACATCATCATCAACTTCAACTTATCCTATTGTAGAGCTAAACCATGAACTAAAAAATCTGGTGTTACAGGTAAGAAAACAGACCCTGGGCGCCTGCACAGCTCGGGTGAAAAGGCCAGGACTAGATGCAAGGCTCCGGACTTCAGGCAAAGCCTTTCCCTTCCCATGTTGCCAGGCTGCCAACAACCGCGGACTCAGACTGGAGAGTACAAGACACGAATGCAAGGACTACGGTGCTACTGGCAAGTAATTCCCAGTAAACACAGGCAATGAACTGGGACACCAGTGCAAGTTACTGGGGAAGACAAAACTACCTCCTCTTGTTGGTGTCTGTGGGAGCAAGCCACCTGCTGTGAGCTGCGGCTCCCCTTAGACTTAGACCTACAGCCACTGTAAGCACTGCTCACCGACACTGCCGAGGAGCCTAGCTGGCGGGTGGGTGTGAGGGCGCCTGGCTCAGGCGGGCCCCCCACCCCTCACCCCACGGGCGTGGGCAAGGCGAGGGGGGGCGCGGGAGCGGCGGGGCCCAGGTCCGCGCTCAGGCCAGGTCCAGTTTCTTCTGCGCCGCCGCCAGCTGGTCCTGCAGCCTCCGCTTCCTCCAGTCCAGGTAGCGCCTCCGCAGCCGGTTCGCCTGCCAGCCCACCAGCACCCCGGAGGCGAAGGCCAGCAGCACCGCCAGCTGCAGCTTCCTCTCGGACACGTCCGCCATCCGGCCGCCGCCGCGCGGAAGGGCCTCCGGCGGGGGACCCGGCCCACGGCGCGCGTTCAAGGAGCGGAGGAGGCGAGCCCGGCGCCGCCTGCTGCTCGGTGGCGGACCTGCAGCGCCTGCCCGGGAGCGGGAGCGTGGGACGGCTCTGACTTGCTGGGATGTCATTCCTAGGGTCACTTTTACATAAAACTCCTTATCAGGCTGCAGACTCTCCTGTGGGCGGGATGAACTAAGCAAGCATGTTGGAGAAGCTCCAATAGCAAAGCACTGACGTGGCCTCTAGGAACAGTGGCCACCCCAGCCAGCAGCCAGCCAAAAGCTAGAGCCTCCATCCTGCAACTGTCATGAGAACGGAGCCCGCCTGAGCCATCCGCCTCCCATGGCCTGGAGTGAGGTGTAGGTTCTTGACTTCGTGCTGGGGAAATTTTACAATACGCGTCCAGGTGATTTTGAGAGAACATTTACTAAAGCTGGGACAGTGAAATAAAGGGAGGGCTTAGCATAGAAGCAGCAGCAGGAGAGCCGAGGAGGGGCTGCTTTGGCCCGGTAGAAATTTTATAGGAAAGAAGTGAGCCACGTTGGGCTGCCAGGACTCCCTGCCAAGTAAAAGGCACAGTGACAGAAGGGAGCCAAGGTGAGGCTGCTGTCAGCTCACTGAAAAGTGAGAGAAAGGGCGGCCTTGGAGGCAGGTTCCGGTGCTAGCCCGGAGGAGCTCCTGCTGCCCACTGCTCCCCTGGTTGCAAGTCTAGTGGGGCCCTTCGGAGTTTAGGAGAAAGAGAGCAAAAGTACATGCCCCAGAAAAGGAGGGGTGTGGGCGTAATCCAAGGAGAGCACACGCTGGGTCCTTTGCTGTGAGGGTGCTTATCTGTTTCCTAAAGGTGGGGATCCTGGAGGAGGGCCTCGGCAACACAGTCATCAGCTTCCCAGGTGTGTTCTTTCATACGGTGATGTGTCAAACTGAGCAAATAGAGCAGTGGTTCTCCACCTTCCTAATGCCGCGGCCCTTTAATACAGCTCCTCATGTTGTGGTGACCCCCAACCATAACATTATTTTCATTGCTACGTCATAACTGTAATTTTGCTACTGTTATGCATCGTAATGTAAATATCTGATATGCAGGGTGTATTTTCATTGTTACAAATTGAACATAATGAAAGCATAGTGATGAATCACAAAAACAATATGTAATTATAAATGTGTTTTCCGACGGTCTTAGGCGACCCCTGTGAAAGGGTCATTCGACCCCCAAAGGGTCGCAACCCACAGGTTGAGAACCACTGAAATAGAGGGACCAGTGTCATTTTCTGGTGCGCTTTACCTCTATCTTGGATTTGCTTGATTCTAGTTTGGGTTTTTTTGTTATTTGTTCCCCTGACTTCATTTGTGCTGGGGTTTGGCTGGCATTAATGACACTAGCTGGGTCTCTGTTATCTCCCTGACCAGGGTGATTTAAGCTGTTTACTTTTAGGAAGGAGAATTGTAAACCATTTGCTCTCAAGTGTCCTTGGTTAGGAAAGATAGATCTTGCAATTTATTAGCAGGCTGCAAATTGCTCTAATTGACCCCATTTGTCTAACCATCTGTCTCAGTTTCCCTTTTCCCACTTGTCAAAAAATTCTCCTAACATCTAACTCTCCTGATTCACAACCACAGATCACCCAAACCACTTCTCTCAAGTTTCTAAGTCCACAGGCACCTGGTGCCCACACCCTCCTCACACACACACTGTCACTCAACCCCAAATGGTGGCTTCTGGTAAGATACCCTGGCATCCACCTCGCTTATCCTGACCCCATCAAACCCCCACCCCCTAACCCCCATCCAGGAACACATCTGAAGACAGCAGGAGAGCACATGTCCACTGTGGTGGCACCAACACATTGACGGGTCCCTCACACCGACTGCAGCGCCCATTCAGCTGGAGTTGCTGGCCCTCTGCTCTGTGGGCTGTGCAGCAGCAAGTGGCCGCGCTGGGGAGGCCCACGGGTCAAGAAGTTCCCTGTGGCCTCTCGGAGCTGAGGACGCCTGCAGCCATAGCCACAGGAGATCCACCCTCAGTCCTACACCTACAGGAAACTAAGTTCTGCCCACAACCGGGGTGAGACTGGAAGCATCTCTTTTCCTTGTAGACCCTCAGAAGAGACCACAGTCTCAGCCAAAACCCTGGTCTCGTGAGCTCTGAATCAAAGGCACCGCTTATGCCATGCTCTGCTCCCGACTGCAGAGCTGTCAGACAGTCACAAATGTGTAGTGTCACTAAGCTAATGGGGATATTGCTCCACAGCAAGGAATGACTACAGCATGTCCTTTATCAAATCAGCTTCTCCGTCCTTAGTTGATTTGTATAGAAGAAACTTCCTATTAGAGTGTTGTTCATAACACAATTTCCCTAAAGTGAAAGTTACATGTTGCCTGATGGGAGACAGTTCTCTGGGGTCCCTCATGGTTCTGCTTGTCTTGCACGGGGCACTGTCTGCCCTTGTTCCTTGGTGTGTAGGAAACAGTTTTGGAAGAGCATGTCAGCCTCTGGAATGAAGGGCAGTATTGCTTTCAGCCCCAGGAGATGAGGTCTCCCTTTGAGCCAACTGCAGATGTTCTTACTGCCCATTATTAAAAGATGTGGGTTTTTTGCCCAGCCAGAGTGGCTCAGTGGTTGAGTGTTGAACCGTGAACCAGGAGGTCACCAGTTCGATTCCAGGTCAGGGCACATTCCCAAGTTGCAGGCTCAGTCTCCAATGGGGGTGTGCAGGCGGCAGTCAATCAATAATTCGCTCTCATCATTGATGTTTCTCTCTCTCTCTGAATCAATAAAATATATGTTTTTAAAAGAAATGTATTCCTAAGCTGTTTCTTTTCTGTGATGCCACCCACTGTGCATGCAGACGTCACCTGGCCATCTTCACATCACCCTGTGGGAACGGGGACTCAGATCTGGCACAGAAATGGTACTTCATTGCTATGTCATAAGTAATAGAGTCTCCTTTCTCTCTGACTGGAATGGCACAGGAAGAAAGGGGCAAGCAAAGGAGGGAAGGAAAAGGCATGATCTGGAGCCCAGGGCAGGTGTAATCAAGGCCCAGGTTGCCTGCTGACAGTGGGCAAACCTGACTTCAAGGCCCAGTCCTGGTCAAAGATAGGACACACAGAACTTCTACAAGAGCAGAGCTGACCAGTGCCCACAAGCCCTGTCGTCACAGGAAGGAGGGAGGGAGAGACTAGAGGTGGCTCACCTATTTCACAGGCTCATGCCAGCGAGGATCTCTAACTGGGGTAGCTTCACCCTTGGGCTCAGGCATCCCAACCGCCATTAGTGGCGCCATCTCTGAAACCAGTACGGCGATGTAACCATCCTCATCCTGGGCCACAAGGGGAAGCTCCAGGTCCTTGGCCACTGTTCAGGGAAAGGGGCCTGGTCTCCGCTGGGCAAAAGCACTCATCCAGCCCTTAAACAAGACGGGGCTGCTGGTGACCGTCTTCACCACCTGTGGGGAGAAACTCCTGAGCCCATGAGCGAGCAGAGAGAAATCACGTCTTCACGTCATTGTTCGAGTCCCTGGATCCAGCCTTTTCAGCTATGGGAGTCAATAAACTCCACTTAATTAAGGTATTTCTGTGCTAACAGTTCTGTATCTTGCAGCTGTAAGTGTTCTGACAATAACCTTGGTGTTCCAGGCCCTCACAGGCTGGGTCCATCCGTGTCGTCACTCCTCTTCAGTGGCTGTCACCACTGCTCAAACCCCAGCTCAGCGGTCCCAAGCCTGTCGCTTTCTGCCTGTTTTCTCACCCCTGATTACATCACTCTCACAAAAAGTTACCCGTTCTTCAAGGCCAGCATGACATCTCTCCTCCATCATGAAGTTGTCTTAGACCATCAGTCCCAAGGGGCATCAAGTGCGTGCCAGGTGTCAAGTTTCTGCCTCATCAGAAACTCCCGACAGCCAGACTGGAAGGCCCTACAGGGCAAAGCATGTGTGCTAATAGCTACCTCCTTTTGATAGCTGAACATTGCAAAAGAAAGCATGAAAGGCAGGTGACAGAAATTGTGCGTAAGTGCAAGTGCACACACGTGCAGATTTCCCTCACCACTCTTAATATATTTTATTGATTTTTTACAGAGAGGAAGGAAGAGGGATAGTCAGAAACATTGATCAGCTGCCTCCTGCACACCCCCCACTGGGGATGCGCCCGCAACCAAGGCACATGCCCTTTACTGGAATCAAACCAGGGATCCTTCAGTCCACAGGCCAACACTCTATCCACTGAGCCAAACCGGATAGGGCTCCCTCACCACTCTTATTGAATACAGGGAGGAAACAGGTGGGAAAGAAATATGGAACATCCTCTCTCTTATTAAAACAAAGCTCCCCTCCCCCAGGTCATTCCAGTGGCCCTAGGAATCTAGGTGAGAACCCCCGAGAGTAACGTCAAACCAAGGGGGGCAGGGAATGGGCCAGGGTGAGCTTGGCAGGGAATGGGCCAGGGTGAGCTCGCAGCATCAGGAAGTGCTCCTTAACAGGGTTGGCTGCGGTTCCGCCAGACCAGCCGTGGGCAAACCACGACTCGCGGCCGGATCCGGCCAGTTTGAAATGAATAAAACTAAAAAAAAAAAAAAAAAAAAAAAAAAAAAACTTTTTAAGACCGTACCCTTTTATGTAATGATGTTTACTTTGAATTTATATTAGTTCACACAAACACTCCATCCATGCTTTTGTTCCGGCCCTCCGGTCCAGTTTAAGAACCCATTGTGGCCCTCGAGTCAAAAAGTTTGCCCACCCCTGAGCTAGACAGAGCCAGGACAGAAAGCTTCCAAACAGGGCTGCCTGCACCCTGCCCCTTCAGGCCCCATCCTCATAGACCCCTGCAGCCCTTAAACAAGATGGAACAGATGTCTGTTGGAAAGTTCTTCCATTACCAAACTCTAAGACAGAGTTGGGCTCCAGGGCCTCCATCTTTCCTGCTGCCCTTCACATCCTGCATCTTCTCATGCTGAGTCCTTCGTAGCCTGCAGCACTGGCTCCACTTGCCAGCTCATGACAGGCCGGCAGGGACTGGGGCTCCTGGGTTCCCCACTCCAACACCTGCTGAGACAACAGACTGGGGGCCAACTCTGACTGCCCTCCTCCTCCCCTTGGGCCAGGTTCCAGGCTCCACACCATTTCCCATCCGTGCCTTCCCTCCCAGGTCCTCAGACTCTTCACTAACACAAGGCTCCCTCCTCACACTGTCACCAGTCATTAAGAAAAACCTGGTAAAAATACATAAATACAAAGTTGATCTTTTCTTGGCCTGGCCAGTGTGGTTCAGTGGTTGGAGCATTGGTCACAGGTTTGATTTCTGGTCAAGGGCATGTACCTGGGTTGCAGGTTTGATCCTGAGCCCTGGTTGGGGGCATGTGCGAGAGGCAACCAATCGATGTGTCTCTCTCACATTGTTATTTCTCTCTCTCTCTCCCTCCCTTCCACTCTCTCTAAAATAATGGAAAAAAAATATCCCCAGGTAAGGATTAACAACAAAAAAAGAAAAACCTGATCCTTCCTTTTTTTTCTCAGAACCCTTCTAGGGCTCCTCACTGCTTTTAGTGCCTTCAAAGGGCCCCCTCACCTTGCTAACCTCTACTCTTGCCACATCTTGGCCACTAGTTGCGCCTCACTCTTGCTAGCCCCTCCTCAGAAGTTGCCCCCATCCCATCCCACCTCCGAATACCCTCACATTGAACCTGGCTCCAGCTGTCGTAGGTAACCTTTGGTACTCAGGTCAGAGCCTCAGGCACAGCCTGCTTGGCACAGCCCCTTTCCCAGCTGTCCACTGGACCACTCACTGCCTTTCCACGGACAAGTCCATCTCCAGAACTGAGAATATAAAGCCCTTAGAGACAGGGTCCTGGGGGTCCTCCTATTTCCCTCATGGCATCTCACATGCTTGGACAAAGCACAAGTCACTGCAACAACCAGTGATCAACAATCATTGGTAAATTCCTGAAATGAAATGGGAGGACACATTCCTAGCCCCCGAGAAAGATGTGTGCTCTTCCCAGGAATAAAAATAAAAATGTTTAAAACCACCAAAACAGACTGTTCCTCAAAGGGAGCCCTGAGAGCTTTTACTGTGATGCACATTTGGGGGCCCAGCATGTCAGCTGACTGTAGAAATGGATGAATGGAATGTGGGTAGCCCTGCAAGGAACCGACACTGAGGCTCTCCTGCAGGTCACATCCCGGACTGTTGGCACTCACACGCCTCTCCCAGTATGGAAGCAACCACCCCCTGTGGTTTCAAAAGCAAGTAGTGTCTTTGGCAGTCCTGGCCCTGGGGTCTATTTCTCCCCATACAGGACAATTATCTCCCGCAGCTCACCCACTTGGGCTCCATGGGGCCTGGCTATGGGAGGGTCAACTAGATGAGCTTCCAGATAGAAGCGCCTGGCACAGAGTGGGCACATGCACTCCCTCTGATGTTGTTTATACAGATGTATTTTTATTAATCTGAGAGGAAGTGAGAGAGAAACATCAATGGTAAGAATCACTGATCGGCTGCCTCGTGCATGCTCCCTTACTGGGGAATCAAGTCCTCAACCCAGGTACGTGCCCTGATCAGGAATCGAACCCGGACCTCCTGGTTCATAGGTCGACGTGGTCATGGAGACACACTGGCCTGGCCCTCTGACATTTTAAATTACACACTTCATCAATTTCTCCTCTTCTCCAAGAGGATGGGAGCAAGCCAACTCAGGGAAATTGTGACAGAAAAACGACAGGGAGCCACTGGCATTTACATTCTTACTTGTGGTTTCGGTTCATTTGTTTTGTTTTTGCTTTTTATTTATTTATTTTCCTAGAAAAAAAGAAAAAACACAACCAGGGGGATTTATATGATACTGTCAGGATAGCAGGGGGAAGTGAAAGGCCGGAGGTGTGGACAGTTAATAAAAAGTGGGTTCTGAATTACATGGAACAGTCCACAGGATCATGTCTGAGGCCTCACGAGATGACTGGTCATTTTGGCATGCGTGTCCGGTGCCGGGTCTCCTACTCTGCCCCTCAGATACCCAAGCACCCAAGGTCAGCAAGAGCTGGCCACACCCTATATATCTGCCAGACAAACTCAGACTTGACAGAAAGACAAGACAATGTAGCTCCTTGGCTTTGTGCGCAGTATCACACGCAGTCTTTCTTGCTCACGGTGGAGTCTGGGGTGAAAGTCACTATGGGACACACTTTGGCATCACAGTGAACTCCAGGCAGCCACCCATTCATGTGCAGACATGGTCTTCACCACCCACGCCGGTGTCTGTCCAGACATCCCCAGGCGGTCTGGCCCAAGGATGAGGCACAGAACGTTCCTTTCCAGCCACCACTCAACAGCAGTGTCCACTCTCTGGCTTTGCTCAGTCACCTGCAGGAGGAGAGTGGGACCCATCTGCTTTTCAGCTCCGCAATGAACACTGATTCCAAAGACACTTGGCCATCTGGATCCATACGGAAGGTTTCTCGAATTTCTCCCACTTTTATGCTGATCTCAGGGCAGAAAATTCAGCCAGACCCAGAGCCATATGTGGCAAACAGGAAAGCCAGGTGATGGCTGGGCAAGAAAGAGCCCGCAAGTAACACAATGCAAGGCCAGAGGACATTCAAGAAGGGGAGAGGGCATGCAGCAAGCTGTTGCCCCAAGTCACAGTTTAGGGGAGGCACTAAGCCTGAAGGACACAGCCAGGTCTGCCATCTACACCTCCTGCAGCGGGGCCACTGGGGGTGATTCCTGTGTGGAGAGCGCCCTGCTGTGACCTCTGTTCCCGCACGGAGGCCAGGTTACATCTCAGTCCGCAGTCCTGAGGAGCACCACGCTGGCCGGCCAGCCAGGCCATAGTCCTCAGCCCCTCTGCCGATGGGGCTCTGGGTTCCACAGGAAGGCCCTGGGAGCGGGGGAGCGAGGGAAGAGGGATGCATTCTGCTGGGAGAAGATCAGGGAGAAACTACTGTGGGCTGGAAGGAGCTGTGGCTCAAAACACTGCAGAGCCCAAAGGAATAAACAGCGATAAAATGACAAGTCTTGTCGCTAGTTTAAAAACAGATGATTGTTGCTGTTGCTTGGTTTTGTTTTTTCCTTTTAAAACCACTCAATTTTAAAAGGTGAAGGGGCTGGAGAGGTTCAGCCCCTTCACTCTGATCCTTTCTGGGCACCAGGAGGCCTCAGGCCCATACCCGCTGCTCTCCTTGCCTGGGCTCCAGCCACCTAAGCCAGGGCAGGGTGGGGACGACTTGCTCTGCTTCCCAACAGCAATTCCGTCTCGCTGTCAAACCAGAACACGGAGGATGGGAAGTCCAAAGACTAAAGTGCAGAGATTTCCAGAGCGGGCGGCCTGCCACTGGGCACTCTGAGAAGGAATGGGGCGGGGTCACCCCACAGCTGCAGCTGTGGAACCCGCTGACCATTATGAAGGAAGCCTGCAGGGCACAGTCCCCTTTCCCTTGGGCCCTGTTGACACCTCTCTCCGAGACAGTCCACTGTCAGTAGCTCCCCAAGGAAAGAAAGTTCTGGTCTGAAAGATATGGCCCATGAAGAGAGAAAACTTGTATGACCATCCCTGGTTGGTAATGACTAGTGACCTCAGGGACAGGAAGGTGGCAAGAGGGGAAACAGTGCATGATATAAAATCCATGAACCCCAGGTTTCAAGAGCAAGGATACACGAACAACCCAAAAGGCAGTCTCTCTCCTGGGAAAGGTGTGGTGAAGATGCTCAGGATCCTACCAGTGAGGCCTGCTGGGGGAAGGTGCTCCTTGGGCGGGAGGAGCCGCCAAGTGGGAGCAGGGAGGAAGGCCTAGGCTGGCATTAGGGTGTGTAGGCCGGGGGCGGCTGGAATTGGTTGATGACCTCATATTCCGAGGGGTAGGGCTCGGTCTCCTCCATCTCAGACAGCAGCTCCAGCGCCTGCTCCTCCTCCTCTGTCGGGTAGTGGCGTAGGAGGTTGGCTGCTGTGGCCAGGATTGAGGCTCCACCAGCTCCTGCCACCAGGTAGAAACTAACAGCAAAGGTGACATACACCTGGGAACCATGGTACTTCTTATGTTGCTGCTGCTGGGCCAGGATGAGTTCAGAAGCCCAGTAGGAAAAGCCAATGACGGTCGCACACTGCAGGACTGGGCGACAGAGGGACAGCACAGAAAAGGGTTAGCAGGCATCAGCTGAGATGATTAAGGAACCAACTGCAGCCTCTCCACCCAAACCCCAGTGTCAGAGAACCTGTGTGGCCCTGGATCCTGCAAGGGGGAGCTCTCTAGGCCAGTGGTTCTCAACCTTCCTAATGCTGCAACCCTTTAATACAGTTCCTCATGTTGTGGTGACCCCCAACCATAAAATTATTTTTGTTGCTACTTCATAACTATAATTTTGTTACTGTTATGAATCATAATATAAATATCTGATATGCAGGATATTTTTTCATTGTTAAAATTGAACATAATTAAAGCATAGTGATTAATCACAAAAACAATATATAATTATATATGTGGTTTCCGATGGTCTAAGGCGACCCCTGTGAAAGGGTTTTCGACCCCAAAAGGGGTCGCAACCCACAGGTTGAGAACCGCTGCTCTAGGCCATGGGATTCTTGGACGAAGGCTGGGACAGGTGCACGACCCTGTCTGGGCCAGTCAAATCTCTTCATCTTAAGAATCTGGAGGTGGAACCTGAGGGCTGCTAGAAGTCACTGAGTGCTTGAAAGACACAGACAAGGCCATGCAGTTTGGGACTGGAGTCTGCACCACCACAAATCAAATCAATACCCAGCCCAGTCATGGCAGTGGCTAGTCTGTGAGGAAGTGAAAGGGGAGGAAAGAATCCAATGAGACCAGGAACTCGAGGGGAGACACAGTGAGACACTCTGCTCATTCCAGGCCCCAGGAGCCCAGCTGAGCTTCAAACCCAGTTCTTGGAGAGCTGGGAGATTTCTTGGGGAATTCTAACAATACTCCTTTCCTGACAGCTGGGCCAGGTGCACATGCAAATGACGAAGGCAAGCTGCTATCCCACCAGTGCTCCAGGAAAGGCTAGAGTTGAAATGAGCATCTGGACCAACGCCTGCTCAGAGAAAGCCCGTCATCCCCACCTACAACTCCAGGCGGTGCTCCCATCCTGTGGCAGTTCCTCCCCCACGGGAGCAGTCCTGGACTTACCTGTGAGGATGTGGGCAAAGGCATAGCGACGGGTGATCTTCAGGGCTGGATGTTTGGGCCCAAAGACATCTAGGAGGAAGGCGGAGAGACTACACAGGATGCCCAGGAAGCAGAAGGTGGCAATGACCCGCAGGAGTAGCACCGTCT